GCAGAATAGGCAGGCCGCGTCGATCGCGTCGACCCCCTCATCGCTGGGTTCCTCGCCGTCGTTGGTGGTACTGGTCGTGGGCAGGTCGGGGATCACGCGCTCGGAGGCGAGCGTCTCTGGCGCCTGGGTAGCGGGCCCTTCGGGGTGCAGGATCACCTGCTCGTCGCCGATCTTGGCGACCTGTTCGGTGATGTTCTCTCGGCGATGAGAACGGCCTCTCTCACCGCCTCGCCCTCCTCCCTTGGGCGTGTCCTCTGGGGCATGCTTCCAGGCCCCTGATGCCCAGCGCTGCGAAGTCCCCTCGCGCTGGCCCCTGCGGGTTCTTGGCGGGGCGCCGCTTCAGCACGGACTTCCCGCGGCCGCTGCTGGCCTCGCAGGCCGACCGAATGGTCGCCATGGCCTCGGGGGTCGCGGCGAGCAACGCCGGCGCTGCCACCATGTTTGCCGACTCGTCGTCGTCCGAAATTTTACCGAGGTCGATATTTGAAGACCCAAGCGCGGCGCTCAACGCTTTGCTCGTGGCGGGAGATGTCCTGGACGCTGAACTCGGCGTCGCCGTCGCTCTTTCCTCCGCGCTCGTCTTTGCCCTCTGGCTCGGCGACGTCGGTGGGCCGTGCGCGACCAGATGGCCGCGGCCAGGTGTTGCTGGACTGCTGCGACCACGGGAGCGAAGGGGTCGTCGCGCCGCGGTCGGGCGCGTGGATGTCCCGGAACATGCGTTGAAGACCGCGTAGCTACTCTTATGCGCAGAGGCGAGAATCTCCCATCGCGTCCGTTCAAGCGACGGACTGCCCTTCCCCCCGAGGTGCGACGGTGGCGGGCTTCGCGCAGGGGTCAGTCGATTTTTTCACCTGGGCACCGCGCGCGAGTTCCGTCGTTCAGTCATCAGACCGTGGGCATATCTTATTTTGAGGCAACAGGGGTCTTGTGGCATTCTCAGGTCAGAGGCGCCCAGGACGCGGGGGTCGCTTATCGCGCGCAAGCGCGCCAGCCCACCGCATCTGAAGCAGACCCATCAACGCCCCCCTCCCTGGAAATTACGCTTCACCGTCTGAAGCTTCGGAGAGGCACGCCAAGGCACTTGTGGAGTGGCGTAGCGCTCCAACCATCATCTGGGCAGAACGTGATCTGGAAGCCTTGCTGGACTCCAGAAAGTGTCTAGTGTAAGGCCGGTCAGATGGTTTTCGTTGGTAGCCCGCTTCATGGCGCAGCGCGCCAATGCGCCACGTAAAGATCCCTTTTCGAAAATGGAGTCGGGCAGCTGTCCCGGCATGCTTCCAGCGGCGCCTCTTCTAGACATCCATCACATTCGAACCCCATGCGAGAGCGGAACGCGCATGTAGTTCGATTGTGACTGTTTTGTGTATTGCTTTTGGTTGTGGGGTTGGCGCCGGGTGATCATAGTCGCGGGGAATCTGCAGCGGAGGCGCCGTGGAGTTGTGGAAGCTCCAACGGAGGACGCGTCAATCTGTTAGGAAACAAGGGAGACAGTAGAAGAAGTGCGTTTCCCAATCTCAAGGTGCAATCAAAAAAAACAGAGAGCACATGTGTCCGCCCATGATGTTGAAACCGCCGCCGGTTTTCTCAACCTGTTTTTTTTTCACGATGTAGAACGTATGGCCGCGATCGTTGTTCACGCTTGCCCCGTATTCCTAGCAAGCTTCCGCGGCGCCTACGGCGCATATTTCAATAATATTGAATGTTGAGCGCGCGATGATTTTTGTTTTGTTTGTTTGGCTTCCAGCGTGGGGTTTTGTCACCTGGGCTGTTCGTGTTGTGGTTATGCTTTGTCGGCGCCGCGGGGCCAGGGACGTTTTAGCAGAGCACGCAATTGCAGTTGACGGGCGATTCGTACATAATGGGATTGAACATGCTAGACGGTTGTTTGCTCTCTGGCGCAACCTTTTAACAACGGCAGTCATGTGTTGCCAATTTTTGACGTTTCAATATGCAACACATTGTTTCGAGTGTTTTGGGTTGATGTGTTGTTGGCGTTTTATTGGCAAGCGTCCGCGGCCCCCACGGTGCTGATTGTGGAAGTTTTGTGCCCGCGAAGCCATGATGCTAACTCGCCCTAACTCTGGTACCCGCGTGTCGGTTGGTGATAGTGATACGTAAAGACGAGGCGTAATTCTGCCACATGTTGTACATGGTTGTGAAGCGTCTGGCATCTCGAGAGAGAGAAGAAGTATCAATGACACGCTGCCGTTGGAAGCCCATCCGCGTGTTACTCTTTCGTCTTTGTCGGAAGGCCTGGCGATTCGTCCACAGCAGCACGCCGATGGGTTGCCTGTGGCGGTGTGTCGTTGACGCTGTGTTAGCTCTTCTGGGGATCGCACAGTCGGAGGGCGCCCCGAAGAGTTGGGGGGAGGAGCGCGGCGCATGCGCAGGCGGCCCGCCGGCGGGGGGCCCGCCCGCGAGGGTCGCGGAGGGCTGCCCCACGCGGCGTGCCGAGCGAGCGGAGGCCCTTCGCCGCCCCCCCCTCCTTGGGGGGGGGGAAGCAGCGCACGACGTTCCGAGGAGCGGCGGCCGGTGCCTGCCCGTGGTCAGGCTCGTCGTCGTCGCCCTCCTTCTCCTCGGCCTCCTCCGCGTCCGCCTCCTGTTTCGCCCTGCTCCTCCGCTCTGGCCTCGGCCTCCCCCCTGGTCGCCTCGCACTCCCCGGGGGGGCAGCCTCGAGCTTCGGCCCCCAGTCCTGGCTCCCTGTCGTCCGGAGCGTCGTCCTCCTGCTCCTCCGCCTCCTCTGTTGCCGCTCCTCCGCGTCCGCGTTCCCTTCTCCTGCTGGTCCGTCGCCTCCGCCTCCCCACGGTCCCTGCGGCTGCCGTGTGCACAAGAGTAGGAGTTTCCAGGCGAAGGGCCGAGAACGAATTGCGGAGGAGGGAAGGGGGCGGGATGGCGGATGCGGGAGAAGGAGGAGCTGGAGCGGGAACAGCACGGATGTTGTGCGGAGGACGGAGGAGGTGGGGTCTATGCTGAGGAGGGGAGGGCGGTAGAACAGACAGGGGCGGGAAGGAACAGGCAGATTCTTTCACATGTGACGGGTCGTCGGTGCGTCGTGTGCGGTGCGTCGTCATCGGGGTTTCCCAGTATCATTTTCGGATTTGAGTTCTTCAGTCGTTATATCAAAATACGATTGTTGGAGTTGGTTCGCGCGGGGTTTTATTGGGATTTCGCAGCCAGGCCGTACAGACCATGCGTGGCTGAAGCAGGGAAAAATTGCTATCATCCACCTGCCGGCGTCCAGCCAACAAGGAAAGGGCTCGATTTTCGGCCCAGTCTTCTGCTACAGAGGAACAACAGCCCTGTCACGTGTCCTTCAGCAGCAACGGATGGGGCGCGTGGATTGGGCCTGGGGCCGCAGTGCGCGACCAGCTTTGCGCATGCACAGCTCTCCGCGTGCTCGCTCGAGTGTGCCATGCAGCAACTGGTGCACAATGCCCGAATCGTGCGCACTCCGGCGCTCAAGGATCGACGCCCCCAGCCCAGCCCGCAGGCGCAGCTCACGGACTCCCAGGCGGACGTGATCGCTTGGCTCGCTTTCAGGATGGGAACGGGCCCGTTCTGAGCACACTGTTCCCACTCCCCCTTCCCTCTCGCCTAGCGGCCCGCCCACTCGTTTTTGAGTTCGTTGATTTCGGGCAATGTCTCGATTCGCCAGCCCGGATTTGAGGAGAGTATGTCAGCAATTTGTTTGAACGTCCAGACGGCTGCGGCACTCCAGAAGGCAGTCCAGTCACCCCTGCCATCGTTGGCATGCAAGAGTACATCGTTGGCATGTGTCGAACACCCGCCCCAGAGGGCCAAGAGACAATGCCCTACCCTGACTTCCCAGAACCCCGCAGTCGGCCCGCAGACATCTACCAATACGCATGTTCCAGAAGTCCGAGCGTCACACGCGCTTCGTAGATGGGAAAGACCAGGAGGGCCGACGGGGCTCCACTACGAGACCAAGACTTCCCAAGAAGGAGTCACACGAGGAATGCAAGCCATAACCCGATCTCAACGATTTGGAGACATCATCGGGAATCACGAGTTCTCCGCCCAAGGTGGCCCCAAGAGGGCCTCGGATATCCCCGCCGTTATTTTGTTCAGCCTGGTCCTTTGGAATCCCTCACCCCGCTTTCCTCCTTCCGATCCCTTCTCGCCTCTCTCGTCCCCCGTCTGCCATCCCTCCTGCCCCATCCTGCACCCCTGTCTTGTCCCCTGCCCTCGCCTCCCCTCCCCTTCCGCACCCTGCCTCCGGCCCCTATATGGCCCCTTCGTCTGCCCCTTCTTCCTGCGTCCCCCTCCTGCTCCGCAGACACCCCCACTGGTGGCCAGCCGCCTACAACCCGAGAGGACAGATGAAGGGAGCTCGAGAGCTCGGCAGGGCCGCGGCGAGGCAGAGGCATCCCGTCTGAGGCTGGGCGTCGTGGCGTCGTCGCCCGGCCACCCCCAGGGGGCCTGGTCTATCGGCCCAGGGCCAAGTGGCCCCCTTGCAGACCGACCCCCCTCCTGCTCTCTCTCTCTCTCTCTCTCTCCCCGCGCAACTTCTCCGGCCCATCTGCACACCTCGGCCGGATGCGAGGGAATCGTCGTTGCAGGGGGGCCGTTTGGTTGCGCCCGACGTGGCGAGGAATGAGAAGAAGAGAACGCGATGGGAGACGGAGGTCGGTCGATCAGTCGATCTTCTCGGGTGACCCAGTCTGCTGAGCCCTGCTGTGGGGCTTGAGAGCCACAATGGCGACTTTCAGCCCAACAACCGGGCTGCTCGACAGCCCACCACCCACACAAGTGACTCCTCCACCCGAGCACAGACACACCCTAACACCTATCATCCCCTCACTTTGACAGGATGTGGCGGCATGAAGCCACCCGTGCACATCAGCAGGAGGGAGGAGGAGGAGGAGGAGGAGGAGGAGGAGGTGGACCTGTCTGGGGAGGGGGAAGCTGTCCCCACCGTGTTTGGGAGGGATGGGGGGCGCGGCGACGCGAGGGGCAACGAGCAGACCATCGCCCGCCACATGCGCGCCGCGGGGACGCTCAGGCCCGGCCCGGGCAGCTCCCGAACCCCTCCGCCCACGCTCATCGGGAGCGGAAAAGAGGGGGGTGATGACTAGGGGGGGGTGGATATCATGGCGTGGGCCATGATATTTCCCCAGATCTCATGGCGCCCCTTCTTATTTCATTACGTCCCTGGGCCCCCCTCTGGGCTGCGCACATGCCGCCGGTCATGATTTGCACCCCCCCCCTCTTGGACACCCCCCTCTTGGCCGCTCCCGACCTTGGTCGGGTGTGGCCTCCTCTGCTGGATCGGCCGCGTTCGCTCTGCCTGGGCCCTCCCCTCTCCAGGCACGTGGCTCATGCCCCCCGTGCTGACCACTTCGACGTTTGGCATCGGCCCAGGGGCGTGCACTCTTCGCCTCCCCTGCCCCTGCCTTTCCCCGTGGCCTGTTTCTGCGCGGTGCGGCCGATGCGCTGGTGTGTCCCCCCCTCCCATCATCACCCCGCCTTCTCGCCGCGGCACCTCCCCTCTTGGCGCCAGTCTCTCGACCCAGGGGCTGGTCCTCAGCCAGGTGGTCGCTCGTCCTCCTTCTCCGCCCTCCTCCTTACCTTCCTCTTTCTCCTCCACCCGCCCTCCAGCATCCGTCCTCCTCCGGTCTCCTCGTCATCCTTGGACCAGGTGGTCTCGTTGCAGTCAGTCTGTATCCAGCGTGCAATGTGTTCCGCATCTTTTTGAACAGGTTTGCAGATACCGACCAGGTATCATAGTGAAGTGGCCGCACAGTCTTGCACTGACCCTCGGTGTGGGTCATATTCCAACTTTGGCTCCCCCTGAGCTTGCAGCAGCTTCACGGAGCGAGGGAGCTGCTGTTTCGGTTGCGGCCCTGGCTCGAGACCTTCTCAGAGTTCCGCCACGAACGATACTTGCCACAGTGCGCAACAGGTGCAGATGCATGGGGTGAGGGCGGTTCCTCTTCAGACTGTCGGTAGGGTCCGCCCGCCCGACCCGACCCGACCCGCCCGTCAGGGTCCGCCCGCCCGACCCGACCCGACCCGCCCGATAGGGTTCGCCCGCCCGACCCGACCCGACCCGCCCGTTAGGGTTCTCGCGTGTGAACAGGCACCACACTGTAATGTCCCGACCGACCGACCCGACCCGCCCGCTAGGGTCCGCCCGCCCGGGTCTCTCGCCCGATACCTCCATGGTTTCGAGGGCGCCACCGAGAGCGCGCCCCGCAGCTGCTCGGAGGGACGCTGCCTCCCCGTCCCCGTGAAGCACACCGGGGCCCCCCGGAGCGAGGCCGCGCGCGATCGCCGTGCACGGCGGCAGGCCCGTGGGGCGGCCGTGACGAGCGGGGGAGTGCGCGCGGGGGCGCACGGGGAGTGGACCACGGGACTGGTAGGGTTCGGGCCGGGCCAGCGGGGGGGATTGGGAAAGGGGGGGGTACGAAATTTGAGCTTGTTTTTTTTGGTTTCAGGCAAGTTTACTTGCACGGCGTTCGCCCCCCCCCCCCCCCCCCTCGCCCCTCTTCAAGCGAATACTAGCGTGCAAGTGCCTTTCGACTTGCGTGATTTCCGCGCCCCCCCGAACGTGCGAGTCGTTTGCGGCTTGCTTCAGGCTCAGCCCCCCCCCCCGTCCATGCAAGTAAATTTGCCAGAGTCTAAAAAAAAACATGCCCTTTGCTGCATGCAGCTGGTTTCGGCCTCACCGAGGGGCCCATTCCTCGATACATAGCCGCCTCCGGCGCCGGGAGGCGCCGGGAAAATCAGCTACGTGAGCTGATTCTCAACCCCCTTCTTTGCTATCCCCCCCTTTCGCCCGACCCGAATGGTGCACCCAGAGTGGGGGGTGGACAGGACCCGGGGCTGGACCCAAGCGGTGTTTTTGGCGATTTCGTGGACCGTTTTCGTTTCGGCTTCGTTTTGCGGTAGAGGCGGGCTCGAGACAGAAGCGAGGGGAAACGAAGACAGAACGAGAACGAAAAACACCGTTTAGGTTCAGCGTTGACAGAAGCCCCACCCTGACACGTCGATTAGTGAATTGTCCGTTTTCGGTTCTCGAGGGGGCGCCGCGGTCGTCATGTTCCAGGCTCGCGCCCGCCAGGTGTGGGCCCGAGGTCGTTTTCACTGAACCACGTTTTACTGAAGGGGTTCTGTCCATCCCCGACGAAGTGCTCCAACAAGTGGCGCGAAGAGCTGGGGGTCGCCCAGGGCCGCGACCCGATCGGGGTCTCCGTGCTGAGGTTCGAGGCCCGAGGCCCTGTCGAGCCTCGTCGTGCTCGGCCTCCTCTTGGAGGCTGGCGTCGGGCCCGCGGGCCGCCGGGCGTCGATGCGGAATGGAGAGTCGGCCATGGTGAGCCCCGAGTTTTCTTGCAGGCCCCCTCGCGTCGTGAGACACCTGCCCATCGGTCGTTGAAAGTTGGTATCCTGGGAGTCCCATCCTCCAGTCTAGTCTAGGGCGCCTTCCTCTGCTTCGACGATCGAGTGGCTTCACCTTTCCGCCCTCTTCGAGGGGCGGGCGGGCACCCAGTCTGCTTTCAGCGCCTTCCTGCTTCATGTTTTTTCTTCTTCTTCTTATTATTATTGCGATTAGTGTTAGCATTATTATTATTCTTATTATTATTGCTATTAGTATTATTATTATTATTCCGACCGATGGGTGCATTGGGGGCCATGCCAATAAACGTCTTACGTGCCGCCAGGGTGCCCATGGTTTCTTGTGTTTGGATGGTTTTGCTACTGAAGGGGTGATGTTCACCAGCAGTCAATTGACGTCCTGGGGACTCAGGGTTGGGCTTCTTGTAAACGGTTTCTTGTGGACTGGCCTCCACTGTATTGCGGCATCGTTGATGCAGCCTGCGCTTAGTTACTGTGGTCCCCTCTTCGCTCCTCTCAGGGGCAACTTGGCCCCCAATCGCCCATTCATCACCGATTGGGACCTGATGGCCCACACCGCCCAGGAACGCGCGCATTCGCGATCGAGAGCCCACCGCCGACCTATCGGCGATGTCTCGCCGCTTCCAGGTCGACGCCCCCCCCCCCCACCCACGGGGATCGGGCCAGAGATGGGATGGAACCATTATAAGAAAGAGATGGAGAGGAGGAGGAGGAGGAGGAGGAGCAGGAGGAGGAGGAGGAAGAGGAGGAGGAAGAGGAGGAGGAGGAAGAGGAGGAGGAGGATGATGAGGAGGAAGAGGATGGCGACGGCTGCGGCGACCAGGCAGGCAGCCGCGCGCCCGGGCCAGGCCGGCCGCGCCCGCGCGCCCTCGCCTGCCCTCCACCTCGCGGCGCCCCCTGCCGCGCGACGAGGCTCCTGGTCGCTGCCCCCGTGGAGGCAATCGCCGCCGAGGGGCCGCAGGCGCCCTCGTCGTTGCCGCCGCCGCCGCCGCCGCCGCCGCCGCCGCCGCCGCCTCCGCCGCCGCCGTCGTCGTCGTCGTCGTCGTCGTCGTCGTCGTCGTCGTCGTCGTCGTCGTCGTCGTCGTGGTGGTCGAGGCGGCTCGAGGTCTTTACTCCACGTTTGGGCCGTTCTGCATCTTCTGGGGGTCCCGTCCTCCTCTACCTCTGCCTCCCTTCCTCCTCCCCCGCATCCTCAAGATTTCATCTTGCCACTCTGCATCATTACGCATCCCTCGTTCTCCCCCCCTTTCTACCATTTCTTGCTCGACCTCGTCCTCCCGTATCGTCGTCCTCTTTCGCATTTCTTCTGGGGATTGCGCTTCGAACTCGCAGATGGGCGCGGCGAGGGACATCATCGAAACATTGTTGACGCTTCGAAACATTGCTGACGTACCGGTTGCATCTGGGCAGGGTCAACTTGGAGCAGACAGGGCAGCAGCCAGCCGACATGATTGCACGGCTCCAGAAGTTGTTTGGCGGTGCCTTCAACGGGATCTGGTACAGCTACACGCAGACGTTCCCGCGCAAAGGCAAGCCGAAAAGCGACCCCCGCTTTAACCATGAGCAGATCTGTAAGGATTTCCTGGATTCCTGGCGTAGGGCGGGCTACGACGCCTATGCTATGGAGAAGAAGCTGGGGCTCAACGTTGACTGGGAAGCCATCCGCGAGAGACATCCGACACGCCTCTGGCAGAGGCTCACACCGTACAGAGGGCTGGCGCTCCACTTCCCACCAGCAACCGTGGGGTCAGCAGGCAGACTGGTCTTGGCAGGGAGGCTGGCAATCCTGGCAGGATAACGACTGACACGACGGGGGCAAGCGCGGCAGGAAGCACAGCGACAACGCCGACCATGACGACAAGCGAACAAGGTGGAACTAGGTCTCCGCAGCAAGGGACCACCCGCCCGAGATCCTCTCTCAATGGCGGTGTCTGTAACCCCTGGCTAATCTTTCAGCATGTCTCCCACCCTCTACCCACCACCAGTGCGACCGTTAGTCGTCCCTGGCTCCCCTCACTTCTGCTGTACGCCCTCGGGTGGGCACCTCCTCTCTCCCCGTGGCGGTTCGTCCCGCCCTCCTCCCCCCCCTTTTCTCACCAACCTGGCGACCGTTAGTCGTCTCTGGCAGCTTTCCCAACGTTTCGTCTCGCCTACGGCCTGGAGGGATTCCCCTATCGCGCCCAGCTAGACGGCTTCGTGGTGGTAGCATGCTGCCGACGACCCTGGTTGCCACAGCGCCAGGACGGCCCCCATCCTCGCCACGCGAGTTGATCACGGCGCGGCCCCCAGCGGCAGCGACCATTAGTCTTCCCTGGCAGCACTTTCAGCATTGGCGTCGCCTGTGGTCCGAAGGGTCCCCCTCATGCCAGGCAGCAGTCATATAGGTGGAGCGTGCTCCCGCCGACTGAGGTCGACCACGGTGCCTGGTCAGCCACCCACCTCTTGCGTACAAGGGGGCTTGGCCTCGGTGCTGCCCCCCACAGCAAAGCGCACAATCGGCGGACAAATGCAGTCGACTCAATGCGCTGCACGGCGTGCAGCATCTCTACCAGCGATTGCCTGGCACACCAGCTCTCACCCCACCCGGCAGCAGTGACCCGCAGCGCCCACCGGCTGCTGGCCCCTCGCCCTTGAGATGCCCCCCGGGCGCCGTCAATACTGGGTTCGCTGATCCTGCTGGGGCGGGTGCAGCGCGCCTATCGGCCACGTCCGCGACTGTAGTGTGTTTCACTCGGATCGACGCCTGGACCTCGTCACGGCCTGACCTGGTCCCTCGGCCTCGGCCCCCTGGACTGCTTCGGTCCCCGTTCGGCCACTGGCTTGGCCTCCCATCCCCTCGGGGACCTGGCCCCCAGTCGCCGCCAATACCGGGCGCGATGTTTCCGCTGGGGCGGGACGCGCCGTGTCTCACGACCCTGGCCGTTACTGTTTTCACCCTGGTTTTTGCCCGTGCCCCGCCAAGGCTTGGGGTTTATTTGGCTTTGGCCTTTTCGTGAGGTCTACGAATCACGCGTCTTGACCAGTTCCCGTTCTTGTGTGTTCACACCGGACCCTGGTCCCCAGGCACCGGTCGGTTCGACCGTGTTTGGTCTTTCTGGTCTCTGCCCTGACCCTGCCATGGCCTGGCGTGGTCTCCCTGGCACTGGCCCTTGCGTGGCGCCATCGGTGCACGCGCCTTGATCAGCTCTGGCGCTTGTGCTTGCATTCCTCCGGACCCTGGTCCCCAGCCACCGTCAATTCGGCCGCGTTGGCTCTTTCTCCGACAGTGGCGTTGTGATTCGATCCCATCTACAGTGGCGGAGGCGCCCGCCGCCTGGCTGTGCATTCTGTCTGCTTCGTGGTTTCGCGTGTTTCGGCAGTCAGGTCCGCGCGTTCTGACCAATTCTGGCTGTGCATGCACTACCCTGGCTTGGTCCGCCGCTGGCCCCTGGGACGCTGGTTCTCGCAGGAGTGGTTCAGCATTCTTGTCCAGCCTGTCAGTCCCCTGGCGGTTCGTTCAACGTGCCTCCGGCGCCCTGTGGCGACAAGGCTTAATTCTCGTGCTTGGTGATCTCGCTCCCATGGTACTCGCACGCTGCATCTCCCTGGCCGCCTCCGCAGCTGGCAGCTTCCACTCCCCGGTGCAGCTCTGCCTCGGCGCAGCTCCCCCCCGGCGGTAGATTCGCTAGCTAGCTCGGCGCGCGCGCCGGCAATTAGGGCGTCCGCGGCCCGAGCGACTCTACCGATGCTGCTGGCGCGTTCGCCGCAGCCGCGAAAAAACAGTATCCCCACCAGGCCATCCAGAAACGATGCCCAGGGGAGTTGAGGTGACCATGGGAGTGGGGGAGCACGCAGAAGAACAAAGGCCGGGGAAGCCGTCCGATACCCCAAGAAGGGGAGGATGGTGGAGGAGAAAGAGGAGGAGAAGGCGGAGGAGGGCGAAGAGGAGGAAGGAGGAAGATACAGTGGACAAGGAGTAGGAAAAGGAGGAGCAGGAGGAGAAGGAGGAGAAGGAGGAGAAGGGGCATCTTGGCGAGCCCAGGGTCGTCGTTGAGCGTCTTGGGTGCTTCGGGGGCCCTTTTGAAGCCCGTTGGGCGCCTTTTGGCGGCATCTAGGGCGCCTCTTGGGACCGTCTGGGCACCTCTTGGGGCCATCGTGGGGCGCCCTTGGAAACTTTAGGGGCGCTCTTGGGGCCATCTGGGAGGACATCGACAATTTTGAGGGGAGCTCCAATTACCCCCCCCCCTTGGGGAGCCCCAAAAGTCGCCTCTTGGAACGTTCCTGCGGCGTTATTGGAGCGCTCTTGGGCGCTCTTGGGGCCGTTTTGGCGCTTTCTTGGGTCTCTCCTGGGGCTTTCTGGGGCCATCTTGGAGCCATATCGAAGCCTCGGATGGCCATCGGAAGCGAAAGGGCGAGACAGCAACATATCGTGATTTTTTTCGGTTTGGGATGTTGGGTTCTTGGGGGCCTCCGTGGAGGTCTTGGAGGCCTCATGGAACGTTTTTGGGGCCTCTTGGAGCACGTTAGGAGCCGACTTGGGGCATTCTGGGCTATCTTGAGTCGTTGTTGGGGTCATTTTGGGCTCTCTGAGGCCCTCTTGGAGCCATCTTGGGCGAACAAGTACCCTCTGCCACCTCGCGGGGCGCCCCGTCCAGGTCCAGGGGAGGGGGCAGAGGGGATGGGTAAACCCCTCCCTAAAGCGGGAGAAGAGGGTTGGAAGGGGAAACTCCTTAGACCACCCACGTCCAGAGGGCTGGTGGGATTGCCACGATGGCAAAGAGAGCGTTCGAGCTTGGTGTCCCACCCGGTTGCGAGGTCAGGCTTTGTGACCTTGTGACAGCTCCCACACTGGACAGATCCCTTTATCACTGCCGCCCACACCCCACGCGTCCCTGGTCCTGGGGCCACAGGGCTGGGTCAGCTTATGGACCTCGGCCACTCCACTACCACTAGACTCGCTCCCTTTTCCATCCTGAACCCCTCGAGCGAGACAACGCCGACGGGAGTGCTGCAGTCTTTCCAGAGCCATTTGCGAGAGCATTAGCGGGTTGCGGGCATCAGCGGGTTGCGCTAAGCAGATTTCACGACATCCAGACACGCACACAGAGGTCTCGTGCCACAGACACTGCGGCTTTCCCGCATGGGTTCCACGCAGGCGAGTCCGCGTGATGGGTGACCGTCAGCAGGTGCTCTCTGCGTGACCGAGCTTGGGATCCGGGCACGGGGCCTGCTCGTTATGCTCGCCCATGAGCATCATCATCATCATCAGCATCATCATCTGAAAGTAATCATGAGCAGCACCAGCGCCAACATCAACATCATCAGCATCCTCATCGTCATCATCATAATCACCATAATCAGCAGCATACTAACAGTCATCATCATCAGCATCTGAATCATCATCATCAGCATCTGAATCATCATCATCATCATCACTACCATCATCATAATCATCTTCATCGTCAACACCAACATCAGCAGCATCATCATCAGCGTCATCATCGTCATCGTCATCAACACCATCATCAGCAGCATACTAATAGCCATCATCATCAGCATCAGCATCACTACCATCAGCATCATCATCAATACCAATATCTTCATAATCACCAGCAGCATCATCAGAGTCATCGTCATAATCAGCTGTCATTATCATCATCGTCGTCGTTTGCATCATCATGATGGTGATCATCATCAGCATCGTCGTCGTCACTATCGTCGACAGCACCATCATCATCAACATCATCATCACCATCATCATCATTACCATCATTATCATCAGCATCATCATCCCACCTCCCGTTCTCCTGCCTCATCCTCCTCCCGCCCTCCCTTCTGTCTCCTCATCCCGCATCGTCTCTTCTCCTTATCCCTCTCTCCCTCTCGGCTTGGATGGAGGGACGAGGGTTAAGGGGAGGGAGAAGGAAGGCGAGGGAGAGAGAATGAGGGAGGGAGCAAGAGAGGTAGCGAGGAGGGAGTGAGGGATGCAGGGAGAATGGATGGGAGGAGGGGGAGGGAGAACGTGGGAGGTAGGGGAGAGAGGGGGGAGAGAGGGTTGCATGGAGAGAGGGAGGAAGTATGCAGCAGGAGAGGAACGGAGTGGGGGGAAGGCGGGGGGAGAAATGAGGATGAGGAGGAGCGGCAGGACAAGTTGCAGCAGGAGCAGGAGGACGGGGGGGGCATGCTGCGCTCGCTGTCTGTGCATGTTCGAGCTCTCTATATTCAGTATCGCTCTTTTCCAGCGGGTTAAGCCACAGACGTGGGCTACACTGCTGTTGTGTTTTTCATTACGGGCGACGAAAGGGGCAGCCTCAGGATAAGCATGACTCTGGTCAGACATTCTCGGAGTATTCTGGAGCTCCTGGAACAGGTGAGGCCTTTGGAGGCTTCGGGAGGAGCCGGAATGAACATCAACACCTCCCTCCTCTTCTCTCCTCCTACGCCATTGTCCGTCCTTGTTCTCTCTCACCCTCTCCCTGTCTCTCTCCCTCTCTTTCTCTCCTGCTGCGCGTCTCCGCACAGCCTCTCCGTCTTCTTCCCTGTCTTCAGGGACATCTTCAGGGACAGCGAAGAGGGGGAATCGGCACCCTTCCGCCCATTCATCACCGATGGGACCTCGACACCATAGCACACCCCGCTCAGGAGCGCTCGGATCTGCCATCGGTGGCCCAGGGCCGATCTGTCGGCGACGTCTCGCCGATTCCAGCTCGACGTTTCCGAGACATCCGCGCGGACCTCCAAGTTTTCATGTTTCTGTCATTCTCCTTTCCCCTCACGTTGCCCCTCATGTCTGCATCGCCCAGGCCCTGGCCATCGAGCCGGGCGACGTGGTGGCTTGCGAGGCGGGCTCGACAGCGGGAAGTAGTCGTCGTCGTCGTCGTCGTCGTCGTCGTCGTCGTCGTCGTCGTCGTCGTGGGTCTGTGGGGGCCGCGGGGGGGGCGGGCACGGTGCCGACGGCGACGAGGGCGGCGGAGGCGGCGGGGAGGTCAGGAGGAGGAGGACGCGGGTGGGAGAAGGGGGGAGGGGTCGGGGACGAGCGCGATGAGTAGGAGTGAGAGGAGGTGGATGAGGAAGAGGAGGAGGGAAGGGGGCGAGGGCAAGGACGTGGAGGAGGAGGAGGAGGAGGAGGAGGAGGAGGAGGCAGGGGGAGACCGAGGAAATCGGGAGGAGGAGAAGCGAGGGACGAGGTACGAAGCATGAGAAACCAGGGAGGAGGGAACACGGCCGAGGAATGAGGCGAGACAAACAGCTTTCGAGTGAGGAGCGGCAAGAAGGGAGCATCAGGATGAGGATGAAGATTGCTGACGATGAATAAGTGAAGAGGTGGAAGAGGATCAGCATACAGTCCCAGTCATTCGCATCATCCCGCACCATGCCCCTGCCACATCTCCCCCTTCCTCGCCGTAGCTAATTCTAGCCCTCCTCGTTATTTCATGTAGGTCAGTGCTGGTCCTACGAAAACTCTGTATATCGTTATCTTAGCTGTCCCACATCAACCTGGCCTGATCCCACTACCTAGGTGCTGCCTCTGCCCATAGCTTTCAACACACATCATGGATATAGACCGACATATTTCAATACCAAAGGTCAGGGCAGCCAGCCCGACTACATCATCATACCCAGGTGCGCTTTACCCACGGTACGAACGGCAGGACCTCTGAGGACGATGGGGCGAGTTTTTCAAGTCATCGCATCGCGCGCACCCAGGCATCATGTTCCCGTTCATGCTCGTCTGGTTTATGAATGTGCCGACGCGCTTGGGCTGCCGATCCAGGTTTTCGACCGCCCCAGGCTCGGATTCGGTCAATCTCAGCACGGGTGGGACAGAGATGCACTCATGGACGGCCTGCGTAGAGGGACTCACAGAACAGACTCCCAATCGGGATTGGGCGCACTTGCTGCAGGTGATGGGGGCAGCAGGGCCCGGGCATTACATGCAGCGCCTTGCCCCCTGGGGCGATTGCCAAACTATTGCGGATCGCGTCAAAGAGTTCATGCTTCAGCGACGGCAGTTCAGAGAACAGCCCGAAGCAGCGGTGCGCACCAATGGGGTAGCCAGCGCCATTCAGGAGCTGAAGGACAGCAGCCAGGTGCTCCGCAAGATACGTCGCAGGTACCTGGTGCAATGGGGACAGGACATCACCGACGAACCCACCCACCCTCACACCCAGGATCGCAAACCAGAAGTTACTAGATTGTCAAGACTGCCGTCCGCGAGGGGCACTGGTCCCCAGATCCGTAGATGCAGATGCGCAGCTGCGGCCACCCTTGCTCTTGGGACCTGAAAGCTGGGTTCCAGCTACCTTCTTGCCAGAGAGGTTTCCAGACCATTATGACTGATTGTTTTCTTGTTTTTGAGACGGAGGATCTCTTGCATCATCCTGGGACCGGGGCAGACACAAGGCATGCGCCTTTTTCACGAACGAGGAGCTCCAGTGAGTCACCGAGAAAATCCAGCGCAAATGCAGATAGCTTCGGGCAGCTCGTAAGCGGATGGCAGCCCCAACGTGGTCTTTCCCCTCTGGTGCTCTTCTGGGTACTCCTCGTACCCCTTCAGAAGGATTGCCAATTTGCTCCGAGGCTCACGCCCCAAGATCGACCAGATGTGGCTGACATTGGATTTGAAAGTGTTTCGTCATCGCGTGCGTCGATGTGGGCAGGCTCCTGTTCTGTGGCATTGTTTCGCACAAGGATCGCCATCCACTTTTTAAAACGGCTCGCGCGCGTTCTCTGCCTGTTCGGCGAGGCCTCCACCTTGGCGGGGCTCTGCCCTCGCCAGATAAACCGCGAGCCTCTCCCTGCGCGCGGCTGCGCTGCAGACGGGCGGCGAGGGGCGCGCAGGGTGATCCGGCAGAGGTTGAGCAGGCGCTTCCGCCGTCTTGCGGCAGAACGGGCCATCGAGACGCCGGCGGTGCCGACTGGGGCCACCTGGCAAGCGCGAGTCAGGCCATCACGAAGCCCCGGGAGTTACAGAGTGGGGAACAACGATGCCGCAGATTTGCCGTTGCCTTCCGAGGTCGTTCCAGATTCCCATTCGCCGAGCTACATGCGGGAGTTTTTCCGTGGGAGCCGTTCGCCCTTGAGGTTTCCACTGACGACGCCGACGCCGTTTATTGAAGGCGGATAGCTTAATTTCCGCAGGCGGCGCAGATTTGGAAGCCATCGAGTTGGCCCTTTCGTTTTGCACATAAGTGGGCGACTACGCGAAGACGTTCGTTTCGGACTCGCGAGCGGCGAGCAGTCACGGTTAGCTCAGCTGGAGCCCCCATTCCTATAACGCCGTATTTTCTGAGCGCCCCTCAGCAGCAACTACCTCATCGACCCCGCCAGGAACGAGATTGCGCTCGCGATGTTCGGGGCTGGCTCGCAGATTGGCCGCGCGGAAATTTCAGGCTCAGGCTCTGCCCTGTGTTGGCGTGCCTAGTGACCTCGCCCAGATGCAGGGCGACATGATCCGCTCGGATCGCACCCTCGAGCTTCCAGCTGGGCTAGCAGCTAGACGTGCAGGATATCGTAGCATGAGAAAACTGGCCGTCGCGCGGCACCCCGCCCGCGAAAAAGAGGCCCTCGTTTCTTCCGCGAGTTCTCGTGCCAGCCGCCCCCTGCAGGGGAAGCGTTCACTCCGACGCAGACGCACATCCTCAAGCTACGACCACGAGTCTCATTTTCTGCCAGGAGGGTGATTGGGGGGGGTTGCGTTCGAGATGGAGGGCCGCGCGGCTCTGGCTTCCGATTCGCAGGTGCATCGTTATTGGAGAGTGACACCGATTGAGCTTGAATTGGGACCCAGGGGGATCCGCGGCATCAGCAGCGGGCGTGTAATCAAACAGTTCGTTTTGCAAGATGTGGCGCGCTCCTAGCTAGTTCGCGCATCGAGCAAGCCAGCCCCTCAGCATCGTAAGGACTTCTTCTTTGGCCACCAGAAGCCCTCGGGCCCCCAGAGGCCCAACGAGACGATGGAGAACGCGGGCGCGCGGTTCCTGGGCGCCCCAGAAGGTTCCAGCGCGTTGGGCAATTACCCGTTCATCTACATAGTCATCACGGGCCAGAAGCGAGGTGTTGGGAGGTCGGCGGCGAACAGCCAATGTTTCGAATGTGACAGCGAGTTTGAGAGCAGGAGCTCAGCATGTAAAGCACGTGGAAGATTCTCCCATAGTGGCAAATGTCTGGCCAGAGTTAGCAACACGACGTTTAGGTCTCCAGCACCATTGGTTCCCGGTTGTCCGTCGCGCGAGGCTCAGATCGCCTCCGCCCCCCCTCCCCCCCCTCAGTTTTGCCCAGCGCGCGCGTTCTCACTTCGCCTTCGTCCCGCTGTGGTTCGCGAGCAGCCACGGCCAGGGCTCCGACGCGGTCTTTTGGAAAGCGCAACTCCTGGCAGGCAGCGGGAGGATACGACCGTCGCACTCGCTTGGGGGGGGCAGTCGTGAACCTGGCGCGCCGGCAGCTCCAGGGCAAAGGCGCGGTGGCGGCCCTGCTCGCGATTTTGCGCAGGTTCCCTTTCGCCAGCGCGCGAGGTCTCGCGGGGCTCAAGAGCGCCACCTATATTTGCTTTCTACGCCCAGCGGCAGCGTCGTTCATCAGAGCGACGCAGATCGCGATCGACGGGTCGCCGCCGATGACAGCGCTCTCTGAACTGCAGGCGCGCGCGGATGCAGCGCGGCAAGGGCAACGTTGGAGCGGCTCCCATGGGGGCATTGGGTCGAGAGGCGGATCGCTTTATCCAGCTCTGCGGCCTTGGAGAGAATCCTGCTCCAAGAGCTGCAGCGAAACCCTGTGCGAGCAGTTCGCTGATTTCTGAGGCTACAAGAAGCAGGCAACCGGCGCGCCTGGTTTCGATTCAGAATTCATTTCGGATGTTGGAACTGGCGCAAAGGGTCCATCTCGGGCACAGGGAGTTAGAAGCTCTCCGTAGGAGATCCTCCGTAGAGGCTCTTCAGTTAGAAGCCAGTTTTGCACCGCAGCTCTGGAGGCAACACTTTCGAGGCCCCCTGCAGTGAGCCCCATGGAGTTTAGGACGGTCTCCACGAACCTCGCCCACTCTTTTCGTTCGCTGCTGATGCGCGCGCCTCGAGTGCGCTGCTTGCACCGGCTGTCGCTCCGTTGTCCGAGCGGGTCCGTATCGAGTCTGACCAGGTGAAGTTTGTCACGTAATGTCATTGCCGCTCAGTTGCCCGCTATCTCTCCGCCCTCTTCCTCGTTCCCGCGGCAAGTGCTGCTGCCTGCTCCCGTCGTCTTCTGGCCTCCTGTGTCGTGTGTGGTGTGCGTGCGTGTGTGCGTGTGGCGTTGGCGGTGACCTGTTCCTTATCGCCGGTCGTTCCCCTTCGTTCCCTTGTCGTGTCGTTGTTGGGGTGTGGCCGATGGTTGAATTGGGGGAGACTTCCGACTCTCTCACTTTGCGAGCTTGCCGCTGGGAGGACAGTTCCCGCGTTTGCCGCCACGGGTTTGTTTCCTGGGACGGTCTTGCTTCGGGACAGTGGTTTCCCCCAGCGAGGCTGTAGACTAGAGCCCCGTGTGATTCGCAGATCACGTTACATGCTACATATTTGATGCTCGCTTCACAACGTGTTGCTTTCCAGGCGTCAGTCCTCCTCCTCCTTTTCCACTCTTATCCTCCCTCCTCCTCCTCCTCCTCCTCCTCCTCTCTCCTCCTCCTCCTCCTCCTCCTCCTCCTCCTCCTCCTCCTCCTCCTCCTCCCCCACCTCCTCCTCCTCCTCCTCCTCCTTTTCCTGTTCCTCCTTTTTGTTCCTCCTCCTCCTCCTGCCCCATCCCCTTCCTTCATCCTCCAGCCGCTGAAGGGCCACGGCCGCCCGCTACGATCTCGAGAGGGCCGCGCTCCCGGCGCGCACAGCAGCGCTTCGGCCCGCCTCCCTGCTGTTCCCGGCTCCAACCGGCCGCGGGGGGGACAGGCTCGGAGCGTCCATGAGGAGGCCTCGCGGCCTGCCCGCTTCCCCCCCGCCCACTTTGCACGGTCGGTCGGCTGGCCAGCGGTCGTTCGGCCCCGAAGAGCACGGGGATCAGGGGGACCGAAATGGATAATGTGGGATGACGATGAATAAATGACCGGGGGTCGTGTTGCGTCTGCGACGCCCCGGAGGATGATTCGAAAAAACGGGCCGCGGGTTGGAAAACTATGTTTTAATCGTTCTGCCCTTGCCGTCCTCGGGCGCGCGCCCGGGCAACCGACGGGCCAGACGGAGCCGAAGCGGAGGGTTAGGAGGGAGTGGTCAAGGAGAAAGGAGCGGGGGCAACAGCAGCGGGATGCAATTACAACGACGAGCGCATCGGACCTGTAGGTACCATGAGCTGCAATAGCAAGTGGTGGACAAGGAGGTACAAGACCCAACCATGTGCAGCTTGGAGTACCAACATGCGAACCCTGCCACTGTGGCCTTCGGTAGAGCTCCCTATGCGGCCGCGAAGCGTGTGAGGGGTGCGCCAAAGTGGCCCGAGGCCGCCATTCGGACCCTGCCACTGTGGCCTTCGGTGGAGCTCTCTATGGGGCCGCGAAGCGTGTGAGGGGTGCGCCGACGTGTAATAGACATATGTTTGAATCGTCCTTCTTACGTTGTGAAATCAGATAATTAGAAAGCAAACAACTATTTGTTTATCGTTCCCCCTAATTATTCGTCATACTGCATTACGGGAGCAGCGGGCGCAAAGTCCAACAGCAGATATTGCCCATTCTGAGCAGGATTCCTTGTCGGCGTCGCTGCGATCGTTGTCCATATGAGACACAACCTCGCCTGCCAAACAGCGCCCGCTGTCGGTTTTGGACGTCAGGTTTTGTTTGGCATCGTGCCCATTTTTTCCGTACGCATTTCGGGCGTCCACATAGGAGCAGCAGGGCGGCGGGAGATAATCGCAATGCGCGGCAGGATTGGCCTGATAGGCCCCAGTTCTTGCGCGTTTTTATTCGTAATGCTGTTGAGCGACGCTTCGCCCGTAGCGTCCGTGAGCCTGCACGCGACCGCGTGCAGGCAGCGAACACAGTGCCTCCTCGGCTGCGGCGACGAGCGCTGTGGAGGTCGGACAAGGGCAATCTGATGGTGGACTCCTGGTCGCTCGCTCCTCCTCCTGACCAACGCTGCGTCTGGCGCAGGCTGGCATTCCATCCTCCTCGGGGCCGTTCCGCGCCTGAGAGAGCACGCGCCCCAGAGGGGGCCACTACTGGCTGACAGCGCCAGGACGCAGAGACCGCCGCCGCCGCCGCCCCCTCCCTGCCCCTTTTCTTTTCGCTTGGCCCCCCCCGTCCACGCAGACAGGCCAGTGCCGACTGGACGCCCGAGAGCGTCACGCCCCCTCTCGGGGGGGAGGCAAGATGCGGAACGCTGAACGGCCGCACCGGTGGACGTGCAGGGGCGCGAGGCCCTTCCCCCTCCCCTCGCCCCCCCTGGCGGCGGCGGCTGCCCTCTGGCGGCGGCCGCTGGGCGGAGCCTCGCGCCAGAGACGGGTTGCCCCCCTCCCTCCTCAGGGGCGAATGTTAGAGGGGATAATTAGGCTTAAACTGGGCGTGTCCCTCTACAGGAGGGATATTCAGAAATAGTCAAAAAACAGTCCGGTTTTTTTGGTATTTTCCAGCATTTGTTTACTATTTTTGGTGTGTTTTTTGTTATTTTTCGTCCAAAATGCGCCTGTAGGGGGACATGCCCAACCTAAGGATAAGCTCAGGGGGGCGAACATCGAGCCCCAATCGCCCATTCACCGCCGGTGGGGGCCGCCCGATAGCCCACCCCGCCCAGGAGCGGACGGATTCGCAGTCGGGGCCTGTCGGCGAGGTCTCGCCGATGCCAGGCCGAGCTTCACCTCCCCTGGGGCCGGCCACACGCCACGGTAGGTTTGCGCGGCGCTGACGCGGCGGCGGCCCAAGCGCGGGCCTTCGAGGTTACGCGCCCTCGGTGGCCCAGAGTTGAGCGATGCCGAACGATCTGCGCCATTGGGGAGCCGCGATCGTTCAGGGTAGAGCGATGCGCGCGGCGTCGGAAACGAACGCCCGCGACATCGCGACGCAACCTAGCCGCTGATGTTGCCTCTCGCGTCCGACGACGACGACCGCGTCGGGCGCAGCCGATGCGCCAGGGACGGCGCAAGAGCGCGCGGGCCGCCGCTGGCCAGCAGCGCCCCGCCTCTGTTGCCGACGGCGACGACGACGACGGGCTGGGATTCTGTTGTGCTCTCGTACTTGAGGGCCACATCCCAGACATGAGCTTGGAGCACCCGGAGAAGTATCGAAACGGTCTCTTTGGGCGTGGCTTAATGGGGGGGTCACAAATGGGGGGTCAGAAAAGGTCCCCTTTCGTGCCCCTTTCGGACCCCTCCAGAGCCCCAGGGGGCTCGTTTAGGTACCGTTTGGGTACCTTTTCGAACCACCCTCGCCACCCCCCCATTTATGACCCCCCCGTTACGCGGCGCCCAATCCCTGGTGATCAAGACCAGAGTAGGCTGGCACACCAGAGGCTGGGGCTGCCCTCCCGGCCCGCGCCGCCAGGCGGCCGACTCCGAGGGCTGGGCCCTGGCGTCCGTGGTGGCACCGGTGCGCCTGGCGGGCCGCAGCGGGCGCCGCCGCCCAAGAGTGGCCCGCCGGCGGGCACCCTCCGGCCGCCGTCCAGAGGAGGGCGGAGACGTCGACGGCCGCTGGCCGCCCGCGCTCCGGGAGAGCAGACGTCTGGTGAACATCGAAGAACAGGTAACGGCATACACACAAACTTTTGGCGCTCCGCGCGGGTTTCTCGGATCCGCGCTGGGGCCCCCCCTGGCGACGCCTCCGGCGCCGCCCCTGGCGCGCCCCGCGCGCCATGCAGGGGGGGTCCAGCGCAAATCCAAGAAAGCCGCGCGGAGCGCCAAGCAAGTTTGTGGGCATGGCGTCGTTTCTTCTCCCGGTCTTGAGGAAATTCAGAAGGAGGTCTTCCACGGGTTTCGGCCCGTGGGGGCCCTCGCCAGGCTCTGTGGGATTTCAAGAAGCGACTCGGGGCGAAGAGGCGGTCCCGAGGAATGGGTCGAGACCTCCTGGCGACTTGGTATTGAAACGATGAGGACGTCGGCTCTCTGGGCGTTTGCGCATACTATGTCCTAGGCCCCCCAGATGGTGTCCGAGCAGATGGGATCGGAGGATCGCACCGCATCGCCGATGCATCGCCGATGCATCGCCGATGCTGTTCGATGTGGAACCCGATTTTCTCCACGCCGTCGGCGCCGATGCATCGTCGACGTCGCTGGTGCATCGCAGATGCACCTGCAAAGCATCGCCGGTGCATCGGTCGGCGATGCGTCGCGATCTTCCGACCCCATCTACTCGGACTTCATCTAGGATCTAGGAGGCCTCTAGTGGAGACAGTGGTAGTTGGCCTTTCGGGGGCCTTATCGTCTGCACGGACGGCTGGACGCTGCTCGGGGAATGTGTACGTTTGGACCCCACGAAAGGCCGGGGGGACGAATTTGAGCTGTCGTTGTTCCATTTCGGCCTGCTCCAAGCCAGCTGGCTTTGTCGTTGGCTTCGGGCCAGGGGGCCCGTTGCAGGATCGGGGTGCGCAGCGATACGTTGCACGGCGCAAGATCCGAACAAATGTTGAGGTGAAGGCTGCGTACAGTCGAAACCGATGGTAAGAACGGGTACCCTTTCCATGCTTCTTTGGTCCGTCCTTGACTACTTTCAATGGCCCGCCGTGCTCTAACATGCTTCGATATGGGCGTCCAAATGGCTTGCATCCTTTTCGCGCATCCTCACTATCAGGTTTGTTTGCAGTTTGCCATCTCATGTCGTCGGAGGTCTGTGTGAGAGGATGGCATGTCTGCAAATTCGTGAAAGTGGGGTGGGGCGGGGCGGCTGCACCACATCTTCCTCCACATGAACGCGAGAGCATGACTGTGGATATGGCTGTCGCTCGTGTGCCGTGAGGAGGAGGAGGAGTAGGAGGCTCAGGATGAAGAGGAGGAGGAGGAAGCCGTTGAGGCGATGAGGAGGCGACGGACGCCAACACCAACCACAGAAGATTTGCACACTTTGGAGGCGTGTTCACCGTTCTACACGCTACTGAACCCTTACTTCGTCTTCAAGCACAGCACGGATTGCACGAACCAGCGCCACTTCGCACAGACCGACCAGCGTATTACATCAACGTAGCACAATAAGCTCTACGACCTCCGACTGCCACATCACGACTGGCTGGGACTGATCAGCCAACCGTGCGACCCACATAACTCGGGTGTGTGCCCCCTGATCGGCACTATCTCAATTTAAACCCTGAGCTTCGTCGAGCAGGGGTCCCCGTTGACAGACCGACAAGACTACACAGCAAAAAGCTCCATTTGTCACATGACCATTCCATCAACACCATACCCTCCCTTGATCCTACCCCTTTTGCAGCATATGGCTCAAGGGCCTGGACACCACATCGCGTACCCAAACGTTGAGCAATCCAGTTCGCCACGGACCAGCCCGTCATGGAGCAAGCGGCCGACGTCATCTGGCACCGACAGGTAGGCAGCGGGGTCGATCCACGTACCGCTCACGTCGACAACACATCTCCAACCCACTACTTCTTTAGCACCCGCAACAAAGCCCCAAGGCAGGATCACTGAGGCTTACAAAACCTGGCCCGACAAACGCGCATATCGAGCACTGCAACGACAGCAAGACGGCACACGCGACGTTGCACCGAGTGCAGCAGCGAAGTTCCAAAAGGCGGACCAGCCGAGGTTTACACACGGCCACAGTATCCGACCTGGTATGGAGCTCCACGACAATCTACCTCCCGGCGACAAGCGACTCGACCCGCACGTTGCAGCACCAACAGCGCGAACACCAGATCGAGGTCAGGAAAGTCTACACTCTATGACACGCGGCCCAAGGAGTACACCGACGCGGCCTTGGAAATTGGAAAGGGTTTCATCTCGACCAACATACTGAGAGCATGGATGAAGACACTCTGCCCACACGCACTAAAGTTTGGCATTCTTGTCGGCCGCCAGCCACGGATGGAATAGAGACGCGGCCGAGAAGGCTGACGATTTGAGCATACGTTTCTTCGGCTGAAGCTTCACAGACATACGCGCGCACACCGAGACACCATGGACCGCCACTACCCAGCAAGACCGACCCATAAACTTCACAAGAGGACGGTAGCATGGGCCAGGCCCATGGACGACACCTCAACCAAAGACGCGGCGCGACGAGCACTGACCGTGGCTCAGCCATGTGCTAGAACTGTGGAGACTGCCCAGAACAGCCTGCTCTACCCTGCCTCCGCAGGCGGGCCCACGAGGCGCGGAGGTGTCCGACGTTGGCCAGATCCGCAAGGTCAATGGCCGCGCAGGCGCAGCAACGAGCAGACGCACACTAAGCAAAAAAAGAAAAGCAAGCCATGCGAAGGCCAATTGCCGCTCCTACCTGCTCCACGGCCCAGAACAGCAACGCGAAGGACGCACGCGAAGCCATGCCCCTCCTCCTCAACTTGACCGGCACCTGGGCGACCATGGGGACAATGGCCTTACGCCCACGAAGCGACGCCATGATTTTCGAGAAGATTCGCCTCCACATGACACCATACTTCAGTGGAAACTTGTGCAGTTTATAGAAGCTACGTTGCTGGCGAGGAGTTGCGCCCTCCCCCCCCTCACCCACCCACGAGCTACAATGCCGACTACAGAGCCTCCAACCGCTTCAGCAAGGTGAGCGAAAGGTATACGCTCAAACTGGGGCCGCCTTCTATTGGAAATCCACAGTGGCCGGCGATCTCTGGGGCGCTGTTCCACCTTCGAGCCGACGTTACACGCGAGGAGGGCGTCAAAGGTCAACGCGCTGCTACCAACGTGCCCCCCGCGCTCGAGGCCGTCGCTTTCGCGCGACCAGCTCGGCCAGGCCCTCCGCCACGGATGCCGCCATAGTCCATCTTCGCGCGCGGCGTCGCCAGGGCCGCGATCGTGGACGTCGGCAACATCCCATTCCACAGCGCGCCCGACATGCGAGCAGAAGTCACGAGGGAGCTCGCCAGCATGAAGGTCCTACTGGAACAACTTTGGGGGCGAATGCAAAGTGAAGATCGAGTTCAACAAGGTCGCGCAACATGCAGAGTGTCTAGCGACGCAATACTGCGCGCGGACAACGCGCAGTTGGCCGGGCAAGATCGGCAGAGACCGCGGCGCCACAGCATTCCCAGCAGAAGCCGCAAACCAAATTACGGCGTTGTGCCCCGCGCAACGGGTGCTCAATCAAGCGGCCCACCGCCGCCGACGTCTCCGCCGCCGCTATTCTATGCGCTGGATTACACCGGACTCACTTCTATAGCGCTCACTTCTATAGTGCTCACTTTGAAATTGTGGTCCGGAAGGGGCCGCACATGCAGGCACATGCCGCGCAGTCGCATGCACATGCCCATGCAAATATACAAAAGCCTCAACAGCATTGCCGCGCATGCGCGCACATGCCACACCGTCCGACGCACAGTCGAATGCACGGTCAAGCAAAAATCTGAAAGCATAGACGCACGTGCCCGCACATGCCGCAGAGATGTCGCAGGCGATAGTGGCCTGACCACCTGAGCTCGGGGCATTTCGCAACCCAGAGTTCCGAGGATGTCTCAGGCAAGCGTGGCCGGATCACCATGGGGCAGGGCATCTTGGAAACCAGAGTGGCGAGGATGTCGCTGGTCAAGGTGACCAGACGACCATGGGGCAGGACACCTCCGAGGTCTGAGTTGTGAGGATGTCTCAAGCGAAAGTGGCCTGACCACCATGGGGCAAGAGATCTCTGAGGTCAGAGTTGCGAGGATGTCTCTGGGGAGAGTGGTCTGACCACCTCAGCCCAGGGCATCTCGGAGCCCAGAGTTGCGAGGATGTCTCAGGCAGGACTGGCCTGGCCACCTGCTCAGGGCATCTCAGAACCCAGAGTTGCGAGGGTCTCAGGCGAAAAAGGCCGAGACACTATGGAGCAGGGCATCATTGAGGTCAGAGTTGCGAGGATGTCTCAGGCAAAAATGGCCTGAACAGCTCAACTCAGGGCATCTCGGGCGAGGATGTCTAAAGCGAAAGTGGTCTAACCACCTCAGCTCAGGGCGTCTCGGAACCCAGAGTTCCGAGGATGTCTCAGGCGAAAGGGGCCGAGACACTATCGAGCAGGGCATCATTGAAATCAGGGTTGCGAGGATGTCTCAGGCGACAGTGGCTAACCACCTCAGCTCGGGGCATATCGGAATCGAGACTTGCGAGGATGTCTCAGGCGACCGTGGCCTGACCAGCATGGGGCAAGAGATCTCTGAGGTCAGAGTTGCGAGGATGTCTCAGGCGAAAGTGGTCTAACCACCTCAGCTCAGGGCGTCTCGAAACCCAGAGTCCCGAGGATGTCTCAAGCGAAAGTGGCCGGGCCACCATGGGGCAGGGCATCTCCGAGACCAGAGTTGCGAGGATGTCTCAAGCGAAGGTGGCCAGATCACTTCATGTCAAAGCACGTCGGCCTCCAAATTGCCGACGACGTCTCACGCGGAACTGGCCGGACGCGAACGCGCCGGCGTCCGGAGACGAACGCCGGCCCCGGCATTCTTGCACGTCCCGCACATGCACTG